CTTGGACACGAGGAAGATCAACAATTCTGCAGTTCAAAAGGGCTAAACGGTGTAGCTTTATACGTCGCTACAATTTGCTTTCAATATGCCTGGCAAAGATTGTCATAATACTCTGTCTCTCATCTCTCTCTGTCTCTTCATCTCGCTAAAAAAAGCTGCGTAGGAAGACAACACCAATTTTTTTCTCCTATACGTAATATTGTTGTCAAGAGTGATGCTGACAGTTTTAACGTAGTGAAAACGTAACAAATCTAATTGTTGGTTTTTGAAAAATAAATAAAAATCAACTAACGCCTTCTAAGCTTCAGATCAGTATTAACCACGATTGTGCTACAATACAATGTGTGAAATACACATATCATATGGAACATCAAGTTAAATTTGGTAAGTTATGGTATAATTTGTATTAAAAATAAGGTTGAACTGATATAATTTTGATATCCCGCAAACTGGTATTTAGATATTTCTGTTTAGTTCTAGATGGAATATGGAGCTCTATCTTGTGGAGTCGTCCTTTCGATTGCCGTACCGACGACAACCTATGAGTCTCTTGAGACTCATAGATTGTCAGAGTTCCTCAAGAGGAACTCGATACAGCGGGCTGCGATCATCGTTTCATTTTCAACGAGTATCTCATAGTAACAGGTGACCATTGCAGGTACTTCGATCACCTTATATATGAACCTACTCAACACTCGCATCGAACTCGAATTTTTTTTTAAAGCGACGCCATTCCCTCTCCTCGGCTGGCAATAGAGACTGAAACATGCCTCGTCTATGACGACCATATACTTCAGGCGATTCGAAGTTCTGCAAATAATCGTACGTACACACGCGCATTTCCAGTCGACCTGTAGTCAATTTACTAGGGATCTATTTTTACTCAGTTTTCGCATTTTTACTATCTGGGTTATAATCCTCTAAGCCGATGAGGTTCCAAGCTCTACTTTCTGAAGAGCCTTCTTGGTTGCAGAGGCAATGCGTACTGCACTTTCATTTAAGGCCTTTTTTCTCACCAAGTTTCGATGACCTTCAGCGGCGTAGTGGCCTCCGAAGAATAAAAACTTTGCCAACGTGTGTTGATTTTCAAAACTGAAAAATGTTTTTTTCTGCTGCTCTATATTCTGCTGAGTACACTCAATCGGTTTCCACTTACAAGTTACTAGAAGACTGGAGTATTTATCAGTCAAGTTTCGTCTTTTAATGGCAGGTAATTTTTCAGGCAAACGCTATTCAATTTCGAGGTCCATCTGATTTATTTATAAGACCTTAATTATAATAATTAATCATTATTTTTCAAAGTTCTACACGAGGCCTCTGATCAAATGTTTGGTACGCTATGTCTAAGCATCCTGAAAAAGCGAAAAAATATAATTTCAAAAAACCTTGGATAGCTAATTTTATATGACAGGCTACAAATGAACGCGATGCATTATTAAAATGTAGATCAATTAATCAGTCCATCAAAGCTAAGTACATAAAATACCCAGAGGAAAAATAGAAGACCGGAGAGGGTGCCTGTTTACACAGAAAATTCTCTACTTGGTAAACCGGCCAGTGGTCTTAATATCAACCCCTTTATGATACCATATCAACGCCAATTCCATGCAAAATAAATCAAACTCAACAAGGATTTCCTGTTGCAAATAGAGCTGTTGCCTTTAGCAAAGGCTCTTTTAAGGATGCAGTACTAACTGGCATTCATACTGCGGCCTTCGTAAGGGCGTTAATAATAAGGTTTAACATAATTTCCAGTATGAGAAATCAACGGCAAATACCATGCCAACAATGCAGAAATGTTGCTTTCATTCCACGGGGATAGGCAACACACCTTGATGCAAACAATAATTTTCGTTAAGCAAAAAAATATGCGGCAGTACTAATCGGCAACGCTTACTTTCCAAGCTGACGCATTTGGATTCAACAGTGACGTGATAACTTTACAAGATCAGAGTAAATAGAACATTGCACCCGATGGCAGAGATAATAATTCGCATTAAATAGATCACGGAAGTGTAACTTCTGCCGTAGCTGACCTTCAACTATCTCTTTTGTGCAGTGCTGTTTACCATTGCTTCAACGATCTATTAAAGAAAGGGGTCCGATACGAGAACTTTGAAAGGATCGAGCCGGAGAATACATTTTGACTATGTTCATCGCCATTCCCGTTGCTGTTCAGATTTCTGCTAGGGGATCTACCCTCAGTTTCGAGCCTGGACCTTCGTCCTTTTTGTAAGTAAGCACGTTGCCATTTCGCCATGGCGGGAATAAAAGACAGAAAGGGGTGTGAGGAAGAACCTCAGCCGCATTCAAGTAGCCCCAGAACTAATCTGCTATTGTATAGTTTACAAACAGCTCGAAGTAGCAGAGGGAACATGCAGTTCTAAATAATTATACATAATGGTATTACTATTTTATTATTATAGGTCGAATTTGTAGTAGGGTACTATAGGTAGAAAAATTGTTATCTAATTGAGTAGCAAAACAACGCCCATAACCGCATAACATAACGCTTGCTTATATCAATAGAACAGCCTTGCAGAAAGTCATACCACTGTTCTGCTCAATGATAATAATCATCTTATGAAGATCAAAGGACTTTTTTTCCTAGAGTACAATGACTTTGAAGGTTAGGCATGCCTGACACAAGGTGCTTTGCGCAAGAGAGCCGCTTACAGCTTGCAAGGACAAGACGCAACTAGCATTTATCCGAATATTATATTACTAGTGATCTTGGTGGCGGTCCAAAGCACAGCTAAGGGTCATTTGTAGCAGATGCGCGCTATAATAACGCTATACAAGAGGTAACCTAAAAGAAAGGGCTCATTAAAGTTCAAGGGAACAACGGTTTATCACGACAACGGGTGTTTAAAGAATACATTGGACCGTCACGACGCAAAAACTAATCTCTTCCTTCCTTAAGAGTGTTTTCTCATAAGTTTGTTTAATATCCATAAAGTGATAATATTTGAAAACGAATATTTACATATATTTCGAAATAAATACTCGAAAATTTCGAGCATTTCTTGCAATGCCTTCAGTAATCGGGGCATAGCAGTTACGGTGTTGGCATTTACCATTAGACCCGGTTAAATCTATTGATGCTTATTTTTGACTTTTCTTTCGATACTTATTATTACTTCTCGACTTTTTATAACTAAATGATGGTTTTCGATAACGCAGACTTCGATGCGTTAGCTTTTACAAACGCTGAAATTGACCGGTAGTATTAACAAATGAACAAGTTGAAACACTCAGTTAATATAAGTGTTACAACTGTTCTAGAATGTCCTATTAATAGTAATATAACCGATGTTATTTATGTATGTAAAACTTAGTTCTATATTTGTGTAGACAGTAAAATTACTGAGTGTTTTGTCTTGAATTTATCTCGAAAACCCCAAGATTTGCCTAATTATTATCGTCGTCCAGATTTGAACAGAATTTTCGACGTTATTTATGAAACAAGGTCAAAAACTAATCTCACTCGATGTTTTTATAACTAAAATAATTTCATTGTATTGAAAATTAATGTTAAAAAATTGAACAATTTAATTCAAAGCAAACAAAAGTCACACACTTATAGAAATAAGTTATTATCTCTTTAGCCCCGTGTTCTCTGGTTGAAGGGTACCTGCCAATATCTCATCGTACACCTCTTATTCCTGCAACGTTAGGTAGTCTCAATCAATCCCCAAAATAAAACAACAAGTGTATATCTTAAACAGCAATGGATTTTTTCCATAAGATGTAAGAATGTTCAAAAAATAAACTTTAAATACGCTCGATACGAAATTTACAAACGATTTAAGAATTAATTAGCAGAAATAACCGCAGTATAGTAATTTGGGGCATGAAAAGATCTATTTAATCTAGCCGAAGAGATAATTATATCAAACACAGGTTGGAACTATCGAAGAATATCAATGAACTTGCAAAATATCAAAATTAGAGAATAAATATGGAAAAGTGCTTGTCCTTAAAATGAATGAACCGACGGGGTAAAATTACCTCGGGATCCTTCAAGGTTAACCCAAAATATTTTGCACTTTAACAACCTGGCAATGTCGGCCTGTTAGCCTATAATATCTTCATGTGTTCAAGAGAATTGTGCTGACAAAGAAACGGTTTCATAATCACCCTAGGGTAATGCTCATACTAGTTAGTTTATATATATATACATATATATACGCGTGTATGTTACTTAGAGAATATGTTAGTAGGAAAGGATAATGTGCGTGGCTCCTATCAGACCTAAATCTTAAAATTCCAAACGCCGCAAAACATAGAATACTTTCATTCAGATTACAACTCTCCTGAATGCCTCAGAAAGAATCTCATCAACGTATTTTCCCTATTTTTTTACTTTAGTTATAGCGATGCTCCGTACTTCAGGAAGTTTGTTTTAAAAGGCATGCCAGGTAGATATTTCTGCGAAGGAATCTAAGGCAGGTTACATATTGTTGGTTGTCAAGGTGGGTTGAACCTATGAGTGACACTCAATTTCTCTACGAACGATTCCTCTACATCGTTGCTCCATATGGTAATATCTAGTAAACAGGCAGTGACAGGTGCCTTGCCCAAGCTTTTATACCAAACTTCTGTAATAGGAAAATATTAATAGATACTTTGCCGTTCACCACGCGTCATTGATTCCTCCTTCCTTGTTTACTAATTTACGGGCAACGTAAAATTCTATTATATAATTATCAAAACGCTCTATAAAGTGTTACTTACAAAAAACGCAGTTCCTTACAGAGTATTGACATATTGTGTCGTTTACTATATTTATACAGAGTACTAATATTCGCGTGATTCTAGAGTATTTTTTAAAAGAATGCAACTATCTGTGAGGAAAACGTCTACTGCGTTCTCGTCTTTCCCTAGATGTTATCACATCATTCACTGTTATATAATTTAACCAGAGACCTCAGGGGAAGTGCAGAGGAAGACAGACAATTAGTTGTAAAACAATATAGCGCATCGTCACAAACAAGTAGAGGAGTCATCACCCTGTCGTCAGCATAATGTCTTTGGCGTAATTCTAAGGTTACCACTTCCAGCTTTGCCTGTCAAGCAACGCTACTAGCAAATATATACTTGCTCCAGGCAATACATTCTTTCTTGACAATTTCTCTCTGTTCGCACATCTTCCGTGAAGCGTACAATGTCGCATTGGAAATGGAAATCCAACGTATCTGAAATAATAAGCTATAATAATCTAGAGAAGAACGTAGCAATCATTTGTATCGTGTGTTGTCCTTATTATTTCTAAACTGTAAATAATGAATTTTTGGTCGTTACTTTATATATGCGCATGTGCAGATGGTCCCTAGTATGCACATAGTTATAACGTCCGATTATGCTTGGTTTTTGCATTGTGCTAGCAACTAACTTCGAGCATTTTTAGAATTTCATTAGAAAAAACAGGTTCAATACTGTGTTCTATTTGGAAAAAAAAAAAGATGTTTTTCTGTTTCCTTCGAACGAAACTGTTTACCTGAAGATCATTCCGAGCGGTTTTTAACACTGTTTTTTACGAACGAACTGTATACAAAGACCTATCGTTTCGCGGATGTCGATAAGCCGCAACGACTTAACGTGTTTCCTTCACGACATGATGAACCACTGTAATGCCTTACATTAACGTTTACTGTAATCATGGCGCTTTGCTTTGCTACATCAGCCTTTTTTTTCTATACAATCATTACAAACATGTCTCAAACAGACAGACTTTTTACCCGCGGAATTCATTACACATACACGCAAACGATTTCCATTAGTACCACAAGAGCACCACCGCGAATACCTGTGCATATTTTTAAAAAGCCATTTTGAATTTCGGTTGCCTCTAAGAATAAAACTGCTAAGTGGCTTTTGGAATTTACTTACCAAACGATATTGCCTCTTCTAAAAAAAAAACGACTTCAGTATACTACTGGACCTGGCAAGGTAAATACGGGCGATTTAAAACGACGCATCGATGGCTGTACAGAACTAATTGTTCGATAATTTTTGATTCTTGAAAATTTTTCGCTGGTCTGGATTTTTCTGCCTGTCACTTCAACTCACTGGTCGTCGCCTCATTAAGTTCGGGTATTTTTCTTCTTAATTCTTAAATTTTTCCTTTAATTCATTTTCTCCGCTGCCGTAATCGCTGGCCGTCCTTCTTCCGACGCCTGCAAACTGATTGCTGGAAAGCGTTCAAAAGAAATAATGTTTCCGGTCTGTGCAATCGCGTCGCAATCACCCCTTGACGGTCCTTCCAGACAGTCCATTGAGCGACTTCCTTAGTACTTTTTCTCCTTAGCACTGCGTTTTACAACCAATCCAGCATGAATAGAATGACAAGCCTGTTTATATTGAAACCAGCTTTATCGGCAGCACAAAAGAAATGCACATGAGGGGGCAACGGCCAGCGAAATGGGGAGCTCGACGTCTCCGTGCTTTGACTATATTTCTGACGTGACCTTAGCGAAGGCCTACTTAAGGCAATCAATTCTCAGGTCATTAATCTACGTGACGGTCCATATCAGAACGAATAATTTGATCAGACTAGAATTTCAGAAGAAAATTCAGACAGAAAAAATTAAGCTCTTACTACATTTGATGTTATATTTCTCCTGTGAAGAGTTACCTTTACGTGAAAGAATTGATATGAAAAGACCTATGTTGTTTAAAGTTGCCTTTATAGGACGTTTACCTCAACCTCATTGTGGGCATACCACAAACTTGACGCTGAACGCGAGAGAACGCTGAAACCTAATATTGGAACTGATCGATATTGTCGAAACGGGCTCTGGTCTATTATTGGATCTATGCGAGGACCTCGTTTCAACACGGTACGTATGACTCACTGGCAGGATTTCCAGCGTTACTCTTTACGAAAACTTTGAGACGAACTCGAAGACAAGCAAGCTCTGAGAACCTAACGACTGAGAAATCATATTTAAGAAGTGTTATTATCGTAAAAGACAACGAAACTATAACCAAAAGATACCGTACACAGATTACTAGACACCGTCGCCTTAAGTTAAACAAATTTCGTTACAACAAGTTGATTTCAAAAAAAAAAAAATTATACCGACTACCTGCCGTGATATGACAGACAAAACGTGATGTTTGTCGATTTTTCGCTCGCATGTCGCCTATCGATTATAATACTTTTTTCCTTTACACTTCACATCATAATAACATAAGTTTTGTAGCAGTTGTAGACTTCAATCTAGTTTTAACAGTAATAATAACAAAATAACAATTGAAGTATCTCAACCAAACAGACATTCACTGTTTAGCGAATGCTGTACAAAACAAGCATAATTTCGAAATCTTACAACGTTCAAATTGCTAGAATGTTCCAATGGGTGGATATGGCAGAAACCACAGAACGGCTATGAAAGGTGAACTGGAGAACAATCACGATTAAACAAACTATAGTTAATCTGTACCCCAGCCACGTTTTCTGCTTGGTTAAGCGTAACAGTTACTAATCAGATGAATCAGAATAGTGGTTACTGGGAGCAAAGCCGACGCGTATTTTTGGTGTCTGATAAGGAAATTCTTACGGATTCCGTCGACAGATGACGACAGCCAGATATACTTGTGCGTCTTAAAATATGATGTTCTGTATAAAAAAAAAAAGCAGCTTTCTATGCAAAAGTAATGTTTAATCTGTCGTTGAGAGACCGCCAGCTGCTTCCTTAGTGATCCAACGGTTTGATAGCTGTTCCTTATCATTAGCGGTCCGAAGCATCTCGAAGCTCAACACCCGAAGCTTTGATATTGGTTTTCGCTACCTTTACTATACTAAAGGGTATATTGAGGACACAGACTTAAAATAATATCTTATCTGTAACCTAGATTAACTAATATTACGCACAGAATTTACAGCCGCGGGATTATCTACAAGTTGTTTATAAAGAAACTACGAATGGGTCTACATCGACGACTGCGTGATGTAATTCTCTGATTGTTGTTTCGTGAAAATTTTCAGACAACAATCACAGTACGGCAAAATCTTGATAGGAAAATACTGACATTCAATATAAACTTATTTATGGTTCGGATTAGGTATGGTCACATCAGAGATGTATTTAGATTACTAAAATATAATATCAGAGTTTGACAAATCAAGCTTCCTTTGGCTTCTTTCTAGATAAGCATATGTTCAATTTCGTCCTGACCTGCTCGCAAAAAATATGCTTTTACCTTATCATTTTCATAATGACTACCTTTCCAGCGTTCTCCGTTGTTCACCATCTACTTAACTCGTTGACAGGCCCCCGCGCACATATGTACTGTGTTTATGGTCGTACATCTGTTCTGTCGCGCACCTAGCTAGCCGTAATGTATATACACTCCCCCTTCTTCCTTCCTTTTTCCCTTCATCCATCTCTCTCTCTTTCTACGCATTTCACGAAGAATGTCTTCAGCCTCACACCGAATTCTAGGCACGTCGACACACTCGCCGGACTCACACTTACTGCTACAGCGGCTTCTGCTGCTGCTGCTGCTGCTGCTGCTAAAACTATTGTCTGGCCTTCGTGGGATAACTATGTTCTTGCCCCCTGACGCAGGCTAACTTCACGCGTTGACGTATAAAAGTTTTTCGGCAGCGTACGTTGTTTGTCCCCACGGCCGATCGAGTCGATGAGCATGTTTAACGAAGAGCGTTTGCTTCCAAAAGCTTGCACAGCAATGTCAGGTTCGGCTGCTGTAACTACGGTGAGTTGTGCCATTATATGTATAAGTACATAGTGTGTAATTAACTGTTTCACAATCGAAACTATATAAATAAAACAGCTGACCACGAGAGCGCATGCGTGAACTCAAAAAGTAGATCGTACGAAGTGCGCGACCTGCTGAAGGTCTGTAGTAGTATTTAGGGTCGGTAGTGCTAGTAAACAACACTTTGCGTATGACACTAAAGATACTCAGGTCGATGTAGATTTGGAATTTAACCTGCAGGCTCATAAAATAAGGCAACATGTGGCAGATCCTATTGAATGCGACTTACTAGAGAAAAAAGCTTTTTGACACCAACGACTCTTAAGACCCTATTCACCTAGACGCCGAAATACAAAAAGAAGTATTGATTATTTTCCATTTCTACACAGATTTTACACAGATCTTTAAATTATAAGCATTTTTTTCCCGAATATTTTCTGGTTTCTGTTGACAGTAGCACTTTTGAAAAGCGCATTCATAAAGGCATCCAAGACAACTTCTGATCCCTAAATGCACGAAGCACATAAACAACTACGACTGTCCGGGCAGCTCGTTATGCGTCGAGGGAAGACCAATTACGCCTTGAAGCTGGTCATGTCGTTTACACCGAGATAATCTTTTGTTTTTTTTATTGACATTCGTGTTTTCATTCTTTTTTCGTTGTTCCACCTTAAACGTTCTGTTGTCCATACAATATTCGAACAATGTAATGTAACGTACACGGTTTGATACAAAGACCGAAATAAAATTTACGGCAACTTTCTATCTACCTCCAAGCACGTGACTCGCACACTCTTTCGTCTCGCGTCTTTCAATATTTCATAATAATATGTCGAGACTGCGAGCAACAGCTTGACCATAAAAGCTTTGTACGCTCCACACGATTTCCGCAGACTTTAAGCATTGCATCTATTCATATACTATATGCTCTTGGCTCGCTGTGACTGTTCAGCGGCGTTCGCGGCTCTCGTCAATGGTAACTAGTAGCCATAATACAACGATGTACCACACGCCGTGCAAGCTCGAAATAGCTACGAGGCTGGTAGAAAACATTTATATTCCCGAGTCGCCTAGTGGACCTTCTGCTAGGCTGGAGTGCTTCGATGGCCAAACAAAAATAGTCACAAGGACGACGACGCACATACAATAAGCTGATAGCTTGCTCCCAAAATGAACAAGTAGGGACGCAAGGCGGAACTCTAGTGAATAGCCCACATCGGCTACTTTGATCGGTTGGTTATCGTTTACACTGTGACGGAATGATAGAAGAAGAAATGTTAGTACCAGAACATTTTGCATATAGCCAGCCAGGTTATCAATGAGCATTCTACATGTGGGTGTTTACCCGGCGATTCTTAGCGTGTTCACCTCCTAATGGATATAGGAGCAACCTGTCACTCTGCCAGATTGTGTTGCGTGGTTGCGTGAGGGTCTGTCAAAAATTTAGCGTTCTATACACCACTTCCCGTTCAACTTGCCAGATCCCGTTCTTATGCTCTAGCGTATTTGCCCTAACGGGTGATACCGTAATCGTCCTATTTTCTTCGATTGAAACTTATATGACACTCTTGCACAACGGTTAAATACATACAACTAACTGCAATACGCTAATGATTACGTAGTTATGCTGAACATTGCCGATCCTAAGTTCTCTTATAAAATGCGATAGCTAAAAATACCACGGAGAAGAAAGAGCGTTTTCGTCGTCCACCTGAATACCGACAGTCTGACCAGGTTCAGTGTAAGCAAAACCTATCCGTTGGATTCTCTCCCATTGGCCATAACTATTTAGAGAATGTTTGGAAACAAAAAATCTCTAACAAGAGTTCTGAAATGAATGAAAGCTGTAGCATCAAAGGCAGAAAATCTCATTCAAATAGCTGTCCCTTTTTTCCTGTTGACGTCATTGGCCTGATATAGTTTTTCTTATTTCACACGGTTGCAATTGTCCGTGCCGACGCGACGGAGGCCTGGTATAGCAGATGTATGTGTAACTGAAGAAAGAATGTTTCCATGGTACCGAAAAAATATTTGATTCGTGCGATAAGTGTCCCTTTCTTTGGACCTGCCGTGCAATGTATGCTATTGGCAGGACGCGGACCAGCCTGGTTAGATGAATCAGGAAGCCTTGAAATGCGTGATACAAGTGTAGCACGGCGAAATATGTATTACGAAGTTTGTACCGTAATGTGAATCGGTTTCAAGCTATGCTTTCACTCCATCGTGTCCTGCCGCACCCTACTTAAAGATCGTCATATTTTTCCCCGTAAAATGCTCGGCCGGATTCTCAATAGAGCAGCCCTCGCTGCATCAACTGGAGCACTCTGGCATAATTTCAACGTAAACGAACTTCGATCAGTACGATAACGTTCAGTCTTCTTGGTCAGTCGTAATTACCAATGAACGATAGAACAACGAAAGCATAAAAAAGTGAAGGCTTACAGGCAGACGAAATGTACGAAATACAGTGGCTTATGGGACACGAGCTTCTAAACCCTTTCAATGGATAATACGGCTATCTGTGAGGGGTTTCAAAATATAGTTATGTTCTTGCGTAATGTTTGCATTTTATTATTTACTAATAACACTAATTCGAAGAACTTACGGACTACAAAATGCAACTGTTTTATAGAGCTAAAAATGTATATATATATATATATATATATATACTGCTCTCGTGGATTGTCTGCAAAGGAATAGTTTTCTGAAATCACGATAAGTGTTCTTCGCTTAAACAAGTAGCGTTGCAAATTACAGTCAAACATCCCCAAAGGCATGACTCACTGTACTCAATGAAAGCGTTCTTCTATACATGGCTGAGGTGACACTATGGTATACGACAACCATAGGAATTCTAGATACGAGCATTTAAATACTATATGATAAAGAACCAAATGTGTTTTAGAAATTGATTTAGTCAGCTAAATACGGTCCCATAAAGCTGAGTTTAAACATCAACAATGTTTGAAAAATGCGCATATCCAACATGCATATACACGTAAAACAACTGAGCCTTATCCCCTTAACACATGACCGAAGTCCTCAAAACCTCATACACATGCTCCAGATGATTAAAGTATGTATACACGGCTGTAATATATGGCGTCTCAAAGGATTTTCTAGTCAGCACCGCACGCAAGATACGTCATCCCCTAAATGCGCCTT